TTATTTTCGCCTGAACACCTGGAACTGGATTAGAGTGGATTTGGATTCTGCGCCTTCCCTGCCCACGGAATTTGACACGGTACTCGGAAAACTTATTATTATTTTGCATTATTATGCTGAATGCAATGCTGAATTGCATCAGGTATGATATTGTTTTATTTTGAATACGTTGCCCATGCGCTGGATTGGTTCTTGTTGAATGTGGGAGAAACTGCATTGATGACATGTGTTTCTTTCATCATCGATTGCTTAAATGTGGTTACTATTTTACGTGTAATACTTTTGAGAAAATGATATAGGGTGGTGGCTGTTAAGTGCGTCCCCGGATCTGGTGACCATACACAACAAAATCACTAACTTGATGCCCAGCCAGGCGAAAAAAAACGCCCTCATATGTCGTTTTCATAGCTGTGACAATCGACCTATATTGTCGTTTGTGTGTGAGGATGAGCCTGTGTTTAACCTGTGTTTAGCCTGTGTTTATCCTGTGTGTAGCCTGTATTTATCCTGTGTTTAACCTGTGTTTATCCTGTGTGTAGCCTGTGTTTATCCTGTGTTTAACCTGTATTTATCCTGTGTGTAGCCTGTGTTTATCCTGTGTTTATCCTGTGTTTAACCTCTGTTTATCCTGTGTGTAGCCTGTGTTTATCCTGTGTTTAGCCTGTGTTTATTCTGTGTTTATCCTGTGTTTATCCTGTGTTTATCCCGTGTTTAACCTGTGTTTATCCTGTGTGTATCCTGTGTTTATCCTGTGTTTAACCTGTGTTTATCCTGTGTTTATCCTGTGTTTAACCTGTGTTTATCCTGTGTTTATCCTGTGTGTAGCCTGTGTTTAACCTGTGTTTATCCTGTGTTTATCCTGTGTTTAGCCTGTGTTTATCCTGTGTTTAACCTGTGTTTATCCTGTGTGTATCCTGTGTTTAACCTGTGTTTATCCTGTGTTTATCCTGTGTTTATCCTGTGTGTAGCCTGTGTTTAACCTGTGTTTATCCTGTGTGTATCCTGTGTTTAGCCTGTGTTTATCCTGTGTTTAACCTGTGTTTAACCTGTGTTTAACCTGTGTTTATCCTGTGTGTATCCTGTGTTTAACCTGTGTTTATCCTGTGTTTATCCTGTGTGTAGCCTGTGTTTAACCTGTGTTTATCCTGTGTGTATCCTGTGTTTAGCCTGTGTTTATCCTGTGTTTAACCTGTGTTTATCCTGTGTTTAGCCTGTGTTTAACCTGTGTTTAACCTGTGTTTATCCTGTGTTTATCCTGTGTGTAGCCTGTGTTTATCCTGTGTTTAGCCTGTGTTTAACCTGTGTTTATCCTGTATTTAGCCTGTGTGTATCCTGTGTTTATCCTGTGTGTAGCCTGTGTTTATCCTGTGTTTATCCTGTGTTTATCCTGTATTTATCCCGTGTTTAACCTGTGTTTATCATGTGTGTATCCTGTGTTTATCCTGTGGTCGGATAAATGAAAGTTCACAGTGTTTATCCTGTGTGTATCCTGTGTTCATCCTGTGTTTAACCTGTGTGTATCCTGTGTTTAACCTGTGTGTATCCTGTGTGTATCCTGTGTTTAACCTGTGTGTATCCTGTGTTTATCCTGTGTTTAACCTGTGTGTATCCTGTGTGTATCCTGTGTTTAACCTGTGTGTATCCTGTGTTTATCCTGTGTTTATCCTGTTTATCCTGTGTTTATCCTGTGTTTAACCTGTGTGTATCCTGTGTTTATCCTGTGTTTATCCTGTGTGTATCCTGTGTTTAACCTGTGTGTATCCTGTGTTTATCCTGTGTTTATCCTGTTTATCCTGTGTTTATCCTGTGTTTAACCTGTGTGTATCCTGTGTGTATCCTGTGTTTAACCTGTGTGTATCCTGTGTGTATCCTGTGTTTAACCTGTGTGTATCCTGTGTTTATCCTGTGTGTATCCTGTGTTTATCCTGTGTGTATCCTGTGTGTATCCTGTGTTTAACCTGTGTTTATCCTGTGTTTAACCTGTGTGTATCCTGTGTTTATCCTGTGTGTATCCTGTGTTTATCCTGTGTTTATCCTGTGTTTATCCTGTTTATCCTGTGTTTATCCTGTGTTTATCCTGTGTTTATCCTGTGTTTATCCTGTGTTTAACCTGTGTTTAACCTGTGTTTATCCTGTGTTTATCCTGTGTTTAACCTGTATTTATCCCGTGTTTAACCTGTGTTTATCCTGTGTTTATCCTGTGGTCGGATAAATGAAAGTTCACAGTGTTTAGGATTATTCTTATTTTTAATTGGCGTTAGCACTGAAACACAAGAGAAACCACATCACCACACATTCCTCGTCTGAGCACACTCTTCAATGAGGACCCCCCCAAGCCCCCCCAAGCTGTCCCAACCTGCCTGCGAGGGTCACCTGAGTTTCTCCTGTCTAAAAATATGATCATGTTATGCTACTTACACAATACAATGCAATAGAATGTATTCTTGTATAGCCCTAGGCCACAACAGAAGTCATCTCAGAGACTTAACAAAACCATTGAAATCACCAACACAGGTCAGAGGTCAACAGTTAAAACACATGAAGAATATAAAGCACACACAGAAGAAAATGTCCATACATGTTGTAGAATGCTAAAGTGTCCTGATCATCACCAATCCTTTCTGTTGGACACTAACTGTCCTTTCTGTTGGACACTAACTGTCCTTTCTGTTGGACACTAACTGTCCTTTCTGTTGGACACTAACTGTCCTTTCTGTTGGACACTAACTGTCCTTTCTGTTGGACACTAACTGTCCTTTCTGTTGGACACTAACTGTCCTTTCTGTTGGACACTAACTGTCCTTTCTGTTGGACACTAACTGTCCTTTCTGTTGGACACTAACTGTCCAACAAGACCCTCCTGCATCCACAAGGAACAACTCTTAAAAAACCCATGAAACATGAAAATAAAACAAAAATAGGAGGTGGGTAATTACAGCGTTATTGTTATGATGGGTCCCACATTTAGCCTGTGTTTAACCTGTGTTTATCCTGTGTTTATCCTGTGTTTAACCTGTGTTTATCCTGTGTTTATCCTGTGTTTATCCTGTGTTTATCCTGTGTTTATCCTGTGTTTATCCTGTGTTTATCCTGTTTTTATCCTGTGTTTATCCTGTGTTTATCCTGTGTTTATCCTGTGTTTATCCTGTTTTTATCCTGTGTTTATCCTGTGTTTATCCTGTGTTTATCCTGTGTTTAACCTGTGTTTAACCTGTGTTTAACCTGTGTTTATCCTGTGTTTATCCTGTGTTTATCCTGTGTTTATCCTGTGTTTATCCTGTGTTTAACCTGTGTTTATCCTGTGTTTAACCTGTGTTTATCCTGTGTTTAACCTGTGTTTATCCTGTGTTTAACCATGAGCCAAAAACCATGTACAGAATGTGATTCTGATATTAATAAACCACTAACTAGAGCTGCAACTAACGATTATTTTGTAATCGATTAATCTATCGATTATTTTTACGATTAATCGAGTAATCGCTTGGCTGTGAATTGTGTAGAAAAAAAATATTTTTTCATCACAAAAAGCTAAAGTGGCAACACTCGAGGACGTATTGAGGCGTAAACTTAAAGTAAATGTTTGTAACAGGCTCTTTGTGCTAATTCTGCTCTGATTGGATGAGACAGACAGATATTCATGAAATTATAAAAACAAAGTCGGTTTTAATCAAAAATACTACATTTTTGTGTCATTTTTGCTCTGTTTGAGTCCGTGTGAACCAGAAAACGATTAATCGATTACTAAAATAGATGTCGACTATTTCAATAATCGATTAGTCGTCGTTTAATCGATTAGTTGTTTCAGGCCTCACATCTTTCTGGTCTCTCTCTGGTCTCTCTCTGGTGTCTCTCTGGTGTCTCTCTGGTCTCCCTCTGGTCTCTCTCTGGTCTCTCTCTGGTCTCTCTCTGGTCTCTCTCTGGTCTCTCTCTGGTCTCTCTCTCTGGTCTCCCTCTGGTCTCTCTCTGGTGTCCCTCTGGTCTCCCTCTGGTCTCCCTCTGGTCTCTCTCTGGTCTCCCTCTGGTCTCATGGTCTCCCCCTGGTCTCTCTCTGGTCTCCCTCTGGTCTCCCTCTGGTCTCCCTCTGGTCTCCCTCTGGTCTCCCTCTGGTCTCCCTCTGGTCTCTCTCTGGTCTATCTCTGGTCTATTTCTGGTCTATCTCTGGTCTCTCTCTGGTCTCTCTCTGGTCTCTCTCTGGTCTCTCTCTCTGGTCTCTCTCTGGTCTCTCTCTGGTCTCTCTCTGGTCTCTCTCTGGTCTCTCTCTGGTCTCTCTCTGGTCTCCCTCTGGTCTCTCTCTGGTCTCTCTCTGGTCTCTCTCTGGTCTCTCTCTGGTCTCTCTCTGGTCTCCCTCTGGTCTCCCTCTGGTCTCCCTCTGGTCTCCCTCTGGTCTCTCTCTGGTCTCTCTCTGGTCTCTCTCTGGTCTCTCTCTGGTCTCTCTCTGGTCCCCCTCTCTCTCTGGTCTCTCTCTGGTCTCCCTCTGGTCTCCCTCTGGTCTCTCTCTGGTCTCTCTCTGGTCCCCCTCTGGTCTCCCTCTGGTCTCTCTCTGGTCTCTCTCTGGTCTCTCTCTGGTCCCCCTCTGGTCTCCCTCTGGTCTCTCTCTGGTCTCTCTCTGGTCTCTCTCTGGTCTCTCTCTGGTCTCTCTCTCTGGTCTCTCTCTCTGGTCTCTCTCTCTGGTCTCTCTCTGGTCTCCCTCTGGTCTCCCTCTGGTCTCCCTCTGGTCTCTCTCTCTGGTCTCTCTCTGGTCCCCCTCTGGTCTCCCTCTGGTCTCTCTCTGGTCTCTCTCTGGTCTCTCTCTGGTCTCTCTCTGGTCTCTCTCTGGTCTCCCTCTGGTCTCCCTCTGGTCTCCCTCTGGTCTCTCTCTCTGGTCTCTCTCTGGTCTCCCTCTGGTCTCCCTCTGGTCTCTCTCTCTGGTCTCTCTCTCTGGTCTCCCTCTGGTCTCCCTCTGGTCTCTCTCTGGTCTCCCTCTGGTCTCCCTCTGGTCTCCCTCTGGTCTCCCTCTGGTCTCAGTCCTCACCTGGAGTCTCACAGATGTGTATTTCTTTGGTTTTAGCGTCTTTACTGGGTCCGATGCCAAAATAAGGAAACATCCTCTCAGTCCATGTGTGTGTGTGTGTGAGCAGGTGGGTCATGTGACCAGCGTCATAGAAGGACACGGTTCCTTTGGCATGGTCCAGTTTGACCCGGATCTTCTCTGGTCTCTTCTCCACAGTCACAGCTTTACCACAGCCGTCTGTGTATTCACCATCTACGTGAGAGAAACACCAGATTCCATATTCAGGTGTAGCAGATGCCTTTCCTTTCCTGTCGGTCGACTCTTGTGCGACTCCGATGGTCCAGCCTGGATGATCTCCCACCTCCACGTCCCACTGGTGTGTCCCAGAGATGAAGCCCTCAGAGCCCAGGACATCGGTGTACTTACTGAACCTCTCTGGGAGGTCAGGGAGCAGGTCCTGAAGAGTGTCTCCTCTAGTCACTGCACTGAGGTCCTCAGACAGATACAGGCGTCTGTTAGCTGTGTTTGGATCCAGGACCACTGGACTGTGTCTCACTGCTCTCCTCAGGCTCCTCCAGACCCTGAAGCCCAGGTTCCCCAGGACTTTGGCCTGGTCCAGCATCAGTCCTGTGGGGAGAGGAGTCTGGTCCTGGTCCTGGTCCTGGTCCTGGTCCTGGTCCTGCCTCAGCCCTGTGGGGACAGGAGGCGTCAGGAGAAAGTCCCGTGCTGGTGTCTGCAGATGTTCCTCCAGCTGTTGGATGCTGAGGTCCACAGAGGACAGTTTGTCTCTGAGTGTTGTCCTCTGGGACATGAGGAGGTGCTTCTGTCTGTCCTGCTCCTGCCTCAGAGCTCTCAGTGCAGTGTCCTGCTCCTCCTGCAGGTGGCGCCGCAGCCTGTGGAACACAGCAGAGATCTGTCTCTCACAGTGCAGAGCCTGTTTCTCAGACTGGTTCTGGATCTGGTCATATTTGTTGTGCAGGTCTTCACAGGTCTGTCTGGTCTTCTTCAGAGTCTGCAGCTGCGATCGCAGAGGCTGCTTCAGCTGCTCCTCCGCCTCCTCCTCACTCAGCACCTCGTGGTCTTTGTGTTTACGGAACTCACACACTGGACAGAAGCAGCAGGCCTCGTCCAGGCAGAAGAGAGGAGGCACCTGGGGGTGGACCGAGCATCCTGACCACCGCTGGGTCTGGTCCTGGGTCTGGTCCTGGGTCTGGTCCTGGGTCTGGTCCTGGGTCTGGTCCTGGGTCTGGTCCTTCTGCTCTGAAGGCTCAGAGAGCTGCAGCTTCAGCCTCAGAGCGTCGCTCAGTTGTTTCAAAGTAAAGTTTACTACCAGATCCTTAGAATCCCTCCTCTTACAGAGAGGGCAGCTCCTGCTCTGGTCCTGGCTCTGGTCCTGGCTCTGGTCCTGGACCCAGTGCTTCTGGACACAGCTGCTGCAGAAGCTGTGGTTACAGCTCAGAGACACAGGATCCAGGAAGGTGTCCAGACAAATGGGACAGGTCAGATAGTCTCTCACAACTGCGTCTGCCATTGTCCTCAGGAGAGAGACTCAGGAGAGAGACTCAGGAGCGAGCGTCAGTCTCAGGAGAGAGCGTCAGCCTCAGGAGAGAGCGTCAGTCTCAGGAGAGAGCGTCAGTCTCAGGAGAGAGCGTCAGTCTCAGGAGAGAGCGTCAGTCTCAGGAGAGAGCGTCAGTCTCAGGAGAGAGCGTCAGCCTCAGGAGAGAGCCTCAGTCTCAGGAGAGAGCGTCAGTCTCAGGAGAGAGCCTCAGTCTCAGGAGAGAGCCTCAGCCTCAGGAGAGAGCCTCAGTCTCAGGAGAGAGCGTCAGCCTCAGGAGAGAGCCTCAGTCTCAGGAGAGAGCCTCAGTCTCAGGAGAGAGCCTCAGTCTCAGGAGAGAGCCTCAGTCTCAGGAGCGAGCGTCAGTCTCAGGAGAGAGCGTCAGTCTCAGGAGCGAGCCTCAGTCTCAGGAGAGAGTCTCAGTCTCAGGAGAGAGCGTCAGTCTCAGGAGAGAGTCTCAGTCTCAGGAGAGAGCGTCAGCCTCAGGAGCGAGCGTCAGTCTCAGGAGAGAGCGTCAGTCTCAGGAGCGAGCCTCAGTCTCAGGAGAGAGTCTCAGTCTCAGGAGAGAGCGTCAGTCTCAGGAGAGAGTCTCAGCCTCAGGAGAGAGCCTCAGTCTCAGGAGCGAGCCTCAGTCTCAGGAGAGAGTCTCAGTCTCAGGAGAGAGCGTCAGTCTCAGGAGAGAGTCTCTGTCTCAGGAGAGAGTCTCAGTCTCAGGAGAGAGCGTCAGCCTCAGGAGCGAGCGTCAGTCTCAGGAGAGAGCGTCAGTCTC